GGTGATTGTGATCAGCCAGCCGGGGCATCTCCAGTCCAGCGACTCATCGACGAGTGACTGTTTGACTCTTGCCCTCGCACGCACACGCACAAGCACGCACCCCTTTCAAATCATCATCATCATCATCACCGACCGACCGACTTGCGCAACAGCACAGCATCCACCAGCAGACCGAGATCGAGTCCGAGTCCGAGTCCGACACCAAGTCCAACACAGCCCTCCCGTGCGCGCGGACTTCTCATTCGATCCACCTCGGCCGCAAATCTGTTTCGAAATTGGGACCCATAGCAAGTAGCGATCGCTCTTATCGCTATCGCGGGCGCCCTCTATCAAATAGCCTCCCCCCTAGCCTCCTCCCGGCTGGCGCCCCAGCGCGCCTCGATCGACGATCGAACCCGCACCCCACTCTCTCCTCCTCTCTCGCGCGCGTTCACCTCTCGGATCATCGTCAAGTTGCCGCTCGCCTCGCCTCGCGATCCTATCGCACCGACATTCGACAGCTCGCGCTCAACTCCACGCCCCAGCAAGGATCGAAAAGGCATACACACCCTGCACTCGCGCGCGCGTCTGCGCATCACCTGCTCCGCGATTCTTGCGCGTGCCCTTACGGGTGCACGCGGTCGTCCCTCCTCGACACACGCCTCACACCTCGCCATGTTCTCTGCCAGCGATCTGTTCCTCTCTGCTCGATCGAGCTTGGCCGAGCAGCTCTTCTCCGGCACGGCGTATGGGATCGCGCATGCTTCGCAAGCGCCAGCGGATCTCGGACAAGTTTGGAGGAACGGCACCTTGCTGGCCTTGCTGCTCGATCCTCCCTTGCCTCCGCTCTTGGCTCCACTCCCCGGTCTCTGCAGGCTCACCGCTGCCCTCATCCTAGCTCCCATTGCCGTCATTGGCATGCTCGACTTTGCATGGTATGCCGTCTTTCGAACGCTTGGTGAGTCGTGTGCGGATAGCGAGGCACGACAGATGTTCAGCCTGCTCGTGTATGCGTGCGGATAGTGTTGGCAAGGCCATGCTCATCCTTCCCATATCCCCCCCTCTCGCGCCCCCACAGGCCTGACTAGACGACGAGTGCGCGTCGCGCAACACCAGACGAGACCTGGCAGCATCTCTTTACCTCCTCGACAGCCCGAAGGGGTACCTTTTCCAGGCGCTCATGCACACGCGAGCGCATCACCAGGTCAGACCAAGGCACCCCTATTGACTCCTGGGACGTACGATGCTGAAGCGCTGCTGCGACATCGAGCACGCAGCGCATCTGCAGCCAGCGCGGATGCGGAAGAGGAATGGGTGCGAACGGGAGGAAGCTTTGCGAGGGTGTCGTCGGTGAGAGCAGCTGCTGCCGCCGCCGCCGCTGCCGCTGCTGCTGCTGCTACTGCTCAGGATGCTGCTAGCTTGAACCATGCCAAACGTGGGGCGGGAGGAGGAGCAGGAGGAGGGGAGAGGTTGAGCGGTGGGAGCGGGGCTTCGACGCCTTCGCTGGATGCTTCAGCCATCAGTCCGCCCTTGTCTCCCAGCTATCTGCGCTCCTACTTGGCAGGCCGAGCAAATGGCGTGGGCGTAGAGGGAGCTATGGGCTACTTTGATACGGATGCGGAAGAGAGCGGAACGGAGGCTGGGACGCCGGGTGGTAGCGGACGCAGTTCGCCGGTGAATACGTTTGGACGCGCTACGGGCGTCAAGGCGAGGAGAGCAGGCAGCGGGTTCGGAGGAGGTGCGCTCGGTTTCACACCCGTCAGCCCGGCTTGGAAGAATGAACAGACGCTGCTCGGCGCCGGCGCGTTGGAGAATCAGGCTGCTGCTGGGCAGAGTCCAGCGGCGACGGCAGCGGCGCTCAGAGCGGCTGCTGAAGCCGAGGCTGCCATCGCTGCTGCCGCCGATTTGGACATTTCCCCCACGCAGCGTTAGTGTGTGCGCCGCGCGCGCGCGCTCGCGCTGTCCACCTCATTCTTTGGTCACCCTTTTGCACGCCGCGAACGCCTGCTCTCGTCATGTTTCACTACTTGTTCCTTTATGTACGTGTCGCATACTCTTCTTTCCGCGCAATCACACACGCACGCACACACGCACGCACGCACGCTCGCACGCACGCACGCACGCATCGTTTTGGCAACGTCGACACGCTCGAGTCGCGAGTTTGCTTCACACGCCCGTCATGATATGCGCGATGCCCCCACTGCAGACAAACGGGGGGCCAGCAGGAGGTGCTGTAGTGAAAGGTCGGACACTTGGCGACAAAGAGCAAAGTCATAAAAGTCGAGGAAAAGTTGGAGCATGACGTTTGCATAGGCTGGACGGTGCTGTGGATGCGTGTGCGTGTGCGTGTGCGTGTGCGTGTGCGTGTGCGTGTGCATGTGCGTGTGCATGTGCATGTGTTGGTTGGGTAGATGAAGTACCGCTTCGTCGATCGTCAAACGTCGCACGTGACATGTTTACCGTACGGCCGGCCGACCGCGATTGCATGCATGGCAGCAGTCATGCAAGAGTCTTGAGTCTTGCCGGTAATCTGGAGTGGCCGCGGCCGGGCCGGGGGGGCGCGGATGCGGGTGCAGCAGCATGCGCAGCCAGATTCTGATTTGAAAGCCGGGTGCAAGTCACGTGTTTTGCGATGTAGCCGGCGCGGCGCGGCGGGGCACGAGAGCAGCAGCAGCAGCAGGCGTAAAGTAAGTCGTGCTGGTCGTGCTGGTCGTGCTGGTCGTGGTCTTGCATGGTCGATCGTCGTTGCTATGCGCTAGGCGCCCGCGCAGTGCACACACACATCATGCAGACTCTTCTGACTTTTTGCCTTTCAAACCGGCCACCGGCCTTTTGCTTACGCACCGCGCACCGCACACGCACGCACACGCACACACGCACCGCGACGACAGAGAGCGGACAAATCTCTCCGCAAAAGGTATCGCTCTCACGCGCTGCCTCGATCGATCGTCTGCTGATGCTGCAGCCGCGCCGCGCGCGCGCGCAGAAGCCCCCC